AGAAACCGGACAGAAAAAGAGTTTTCTCATCGGAAACACTCCATGCTTTCCCACGTCCGAATCGTTCGATGAGTACGCGAAGAACTACCGGCTGTAAGTACAGAATCAAAAATAGCATCGCGCAATGCCGTCCATAAAAATGAAACATAATCGATGCGCATCGCGATGTCCTTAAGCACAATGAGAATGAATTATATAATTCTACAAAAAAAAACGTCAATTATCGTCAATTATTACAAAGTGCATATAGCTAAACTCGAGACTGAAATAGCCGTGTCATTCTACGACAAATAGTGTAATCGAAGGACGAACATGGATAAACATAGACTGGAATGCAGCAGTTATTTGCATATACTAAGACCTAAATAAATTAAAAAAGAATTATTTATAGAGCAGAACGAATATCAAATTGTCTCAGAATAAAAGTCGAATATTAAATTTAATAAATTATTTAATATATACTGCGCGTTAACAGCAAATGAAATGCTAGTATATTATAACAATAAATAATTACAATAGCTCATAATACATAATTAAAAAAAAGTTGGATAATAAAAAGTTGTTGAATCGATAAAATATCTGTATTATGATAAAATAACTTTGTAACTTCTAATAATGTAGGCATTCAGAAAATATAATTTTAAGTACCATGTGAAAATGATTTGAAACTTCCTCGGGTTTATACATGACTCATGTCCGGAGGAATACGCGTGACTTTGAAATATTAATCGATGACCTAAAACAATACATACTAGTAACTACTTTCAATTACTTTCACATCAAATGCTTTCCTTTTCATAACGGAAACAGTGACGAATTTATTTCATGGATATGCCATTATATTCATTGTTTCTATAAGTATTAAAATAGCGTAACGATGACAGAGTAGAGTGTCCTATAATTTAAACGCTTTGACAAAAAATATCGTTCTTCTAAATTAATTAAAACCACGTTCTTCTAAATTAATCTTTCCTTAAGAAAAAATGGATTCGCAAAGTATCACGTCTCCTTCAACAATTTTTCATATTAAGTTCAAAATTACACGAAAATAAACTAAAGAAACAAATATATTTCTAGCTTTACGTGGAAATACGAAAATAATTATACATCGCTTGCAGTAACTTTGCAGCGACGATTCTTAATAAACCCAGCTGTGTCAAAGGACAGTGTAAATCTCTTTTTAATCTGAGGTCCTTAACGTTTACTTAATTTTATGAAAGCTCTCGTTTACCAACGTTACGAAAGTTTACCTTTATTTATTACCGTGACGTCGGAATCGAGCTCTTTTTTTTATTAAAAAAAGCTTATCTTTTTAAAGAAACACGATACTTGAATCACACCTTCATGCACGGGGAAAAAATAGGCGAATACGAGTTAATGAGGACATCCAAGTGACACGAATTGTTAGAGCGTGCAATTGCAATTCATGCTCGTGTTTGCTTTCAAAGTCGAGATCAGGGCTTCTATTCTTGAAAAATATCGCATATGAAAAACTAAGGAAATAGTATATATGCGTTTCATATACTATAGCATTTCCCTAGTTTTTCGTATACGATACTTTTCAAGAATAGAGGCCCAGTGTCATTTCAACTTCTTTCTCTTTTGTGACAAAGCCCATAACGGACATAAATTTAAATAAAGTTTTCAAAAGCATAATATATTCAAAAATAAAATCAATTACAACACACAAATAATATTGCAAGCAAACCCTAACTCTTTTCAATAGTTAATTAAGAAATAGTTCTCTTTGTAGATCATGCTATTATATTTACTTTATACTGTTGAATATTTGCATTATAAAAATATATAGTATATAATCGTATATATCAAAATTGTATTATATTAAGATCAAAGTGCTATCGACAAGATTGGCGCCCAGACTGATTTATGCAATCGCAGCAGGTGCTGTCTTCATTACGCCCTAGTTATGGACTGTTTGGATCCATCTCCTTGTGTGTGTACACACCGTGAGCGCCGAATAACGAATGAATCATGCCGTGTGACGGCAGTTCACTTTCTCCCCTCAGTTTCGTCCTCAATTATCCCGGATCGGGCCCCCGTGTAATTACATGGTGAGATGGCTCGATGGGCTGCGGGCAGCCAAGTGAATCGCGGATAACAATTTTCTTTTTCGGAGGGTCCAAAGACCCCTTTCACTCAGCCCGCTGGCGCGAGACCCAGTTTCCTTTCAGCCCAAGAAAGCAGAATTATTTTCGTTACACAAATGTTATCAGACAGCTAAATATGACCCTGAATATATTATATATGTATATACTAAATTTGAATATTAATCAATATATTATATAATGAAAAAATAAAAGGAAGAAGATTAAATAAAAGATTTTTAATCCTTTACGTAGAATAACTCTAATAATTAGAATAAACTTCATTGGACTTCTGCTAATCGTATTAAAAAATTTCTAATAACTCTTTTTTGTTTACAATATAAATAAATCTCTTATTTATATCAATAAAAAATTGTTCTATTCTAATTAACTGATGATGACATTGAAGGTTTTCACTTCGCAATAAATCATTGCGAAATATAAATAGAAAATAGACGAAGGCTATATAAAAAGATACTTCGATGCAACTGGTCTCCGATGTTTCGTAATTCGATGAACATAAATCGCGAAACACAACAAAGTGGAGGAGACACCTGTAGGCGACACGCAAGTGACACGAACACAATGGGCACACTTAGGCCAATTATGGCGCAATTGTAGTCACGTTATTTCTGGGAAGTCGTGACAACGATGCCGTCGAGAGATCCTCGCTGATACAATGTGCATAAATTTGTTTCCGGGACTCTGGGCTCCCACAACGCAGCGGCGCTCTGCCAAATACGTCTATATAAATCATCGTGTGTGCACTTTCACACACTCGTATTCAGCTGATCTTGCAGAAAGCTACGCGTAACAATGCGAACTCTACCGTGTATATGCGTACGTTCAAAGGCAAACAAATTTGCATGCAACCTTATATGAGAGATACTCCGTTAACCGTTAAGGGAAGGAACTGCCGTTTTTACGAGCGAGTTTTAATCCCTTCGACTCAGCCACTAAATGCCAGACTATTAATATTAAATATTCTTAATTCAGTTCGTTCTTAAGCTGTCACGAATTATGGGCTATACGCGTACTATAAAAATTTATAGAACGTTTTAATGTGCGCATAAGTTCGTTCATGAGGGACCTATAAAATTACTTTATATTAAATTTTATGAATGATAAATTAAAAGATCGTCTTAAACGTTCCTCGATTTTATAGCTACCTCTTTCAATCTACTATAATTCTATCTGCAATATATGTATCAATAGATTATGTCCATGTATCAATTTTAATATTATTTATCCTATAATAATCGGAAAAGTGAAAAGTTTCACAACGAGTTTGAAGATAAGAATTATACATCTAAGAAATAAAAAGTATTATATAAGTCAATCTAATAAATCTCAATTTTTAACTAAATTTACTTATATAAACTCTTTATTTAATTCATCTCGACAATGTGTATTCACAATGCCGAATTTTCCAACAGAAATTCCCAACTTATCCTTTTCGAATGCGTACCATCATTCATACACATACGGAAACGAGATTATCCCGACGGGAGGTGTACAAGATGCATTTGACAACGGTGAAATTCAGATGCTTTCTGCGTGATTTCAGATAAAAGGGTGACTCCACGAAATGAAAAAAAGAAGAGGAAGAGAAGAGCCGAATAGACTTGGGGAAGGGTAGAGTAAAGACGAAGAGGATGACGAACAAGAACATCTCGATGCCGCGAAGGAGCCGCGAAGGGGAAATGACTGGCAACGATGTACGGTGGTATTGCGGTATCAGACGGTAAAAGTCTCAGAGAACAATGGATAAACGGAATGGTACAGCCGAGACCTTTCAGGCGATCGGGTAACCGGCAAAAATGCGCACAACACAATGGATAGGATCACGCCCTCCGACGAGTCTCCTCTTTCTCTCTCTCTAACTGCGACTCCTTCTCACATTCGTTTTCCATGGAGCGTAAACTCAAGCTCAATCCACCCACCCATCCACCCATCCAAGCGTAAAAGAGAAAAAAATCGAAAGATTAATGTTCGCTTATCCGGTGGTAATTAGATTTTCTTTTGATAAAGACTGATTTGATATTCAAAGAAGCGTTTATAAAATTTGGAAGCTCGAAAGTATTGCCTCTAAAACATTTACGGAACATTATTGGCATTATTTTTCTAACTATTTTCTTAGAAAAGTTAATCTCACATCAATATTGTCTATTTTGACAAGGTATTTTTTAACATAAATATCTTTTAAACTAATTACATTCTAGACTTTAATTCAAGTAAGAAATATAAATTTCCTTTACATATTTTCCAAAAAAAAAATTTTTTTCTAACTTTAATAAGAATATATTATTATGAAATTGATATTAATACGCACACACAAATGTAACATTATATGTAAATTATAAAAGTCAGAAGATATAAATAATTTTTTAAACTTTTCTTAAGCATCTAAATGGAACACGTGGCGACATCTGTCACAAACGACATTAAACTGTTTTGAGAATATGTCGAATGTCGCATAGATAAAACAGTCGCTTTTTATACCGACGATCATACACGATTTCAGCACAAATAGAAAAAAATATTGCAAATATAAATAGAAAGACCATTTGATATTGATTTCTTGGGTGCTATGTGAATATATGTGCATCAAATCATGCCGATTTATTTAAAAAATTACAATTAAATCATTTTATTTGTGAATTTATAAATTAAATAAAAATAAGTTTAAACTCTGAGAAGAAATTTTTCTTCTAAATTTTTAATTTTTATAATTATTTGGATACTCTGTTCTCTCAATATTTATTATCATTATTACCAAGCAGATGGCGTATGTCTTACTACTTTAACATAACAGAAAATACGTAAAAAAATTTTTTGGGAAAAGATTCAAATGTCTTCGAAAACTCGCTCAACAAATAAAAGTCTTCCATTTACCTTGTAAGTTGTCCAACATGTATGTCAGCAGCTTGTTCGTCCCCGCAGGTTCTCCGTTTCCATATAACGCCATCACATCCTTGCTGAGTGGATTTCCTTGAAGTCCTAGCACTTGTAACTGGAACAACTTCCCTAGTTCGTACGGTAACACGCGAAGGAAGTTTTGGTTCAATAACAACTCCCTGAGGAATAACATAATAATAAATTTACATCATAAAAAAAAAGATTTACTGAATATGCTCAGACTGAAGTAAATGTTTCTTATTATATTTTCTGTTTTACTATACCTGAGATAGATGAGCTCCCCTAGTTCAGCAGGCAGACTGCGCAGCTTGTTGCTACTCAGATCTAGAATACGCAAGTTAACAAGACGACCGATCTCAGATGGCAACCTCTGCAGACTATTATCGTTCAGATACAGAGCTGTTAGATGAGTCATTTGCCACAAATTGGGGCTCAAATTTCGTATACTGCCTGTTATCTCCAACTCCGACCAATGAGATTTCTTCCCCGATTGATAGTCCTCAGGGCACATGAGTGTATACATACGACGCGGGTTGGAGTTCTCATACTTTTCCTTGTGATTGCGGGACATCTTAAATTCTAAAAAAAAAAAGAACAAAAGACTTGTTAAAATAAAAATACTATATTTGTGATCTGTTTCAATTTTAATGTCACATGTTATAGCACATCTCTCAAATACAATTTTTTATATGATGGCAAAATAAAAGGATCTTTAAAGAAGTTATTTCACGTTGCTACAAGTATCATTTATTAAAATTTAAACAGTTGACATAAAGATTCTCATATCTTGATACAGCATATTAGATACTAGTGTATGTAGACTATATTACTTTGAAGGAATTAAAAAAGAAAAGATGTGTATCTGAGAGGTATATAACAGGATCAATGTGAGATTAGTATTTTTAATAAATCAGTCAATTAGAACAACCAGGCTTGTGCCTCAGTCTCATAGAAAAGAGAACAGAAAATGTAGCAACTTGTGACTCTAACTTCATGTCGGGCACGAGCAGATCTCTCGAACTCGCAAAATTAGTGCGGGAGAACGATGTTGATCATAAGCGAACGGATTTTGTTTGTTCCGCACGACAGGCACATCAGATACAAGCTCATAACCTATGACGATGAAACAAGATTTTCGCGAGCCACTCCGGCCGGACGAGCCAGAAACTCAGTGATTTCGACGCGAAATGCGACAACAGACCATTAGAGGACGGTCCGGTTGCACGTGGGTGCAAATTTCGCTAGGCGGTGGCAAATTTTTTCACCGTCAACCACTCATCCTGCCCGAGAGGGCCTGTACGCTCGCGAGGACGGGCCGACGCGTTCGACTAATTTCCACACCGTAGACGTGGCGGTAGCCGCCGAGAGCGGCATTTTCACACGCACGACGATCGTTACGTACCTTCATCTACCCCTTCCGCACAAACGAGACGCACGGGGAGTTGTTACCGAGTGAAAATTTCCGCGTAAACAAAACTACCTTGACAAACACGGATCCTCCATTTATCAACTGCACCGATCGTGCGCCGAACGAAGCTGCCCGATTGGCCGAAACTTCCCGAAGCAGCCGACGCGACGTCGCGCCAACTGCACAAGACACGCGCGAATGTCGCGTCGCCACAAGCGCGCGCCGCTAGGGGAGATCGGGAGTCTGGGGTCCCTGGAGAAAATTCGCGAGTGATGGAGACACTGGGGAGACACTGGGGAGAGCCCTGACTCTCTCTTTCGCGCCATGTTCATCGAGAATCAGGCGAACTTTCTACTTTTCTTCGCGTATCTTCTTGGGCGTCCTTGATAGTTCCGCTTAACTTATCAGCGATCAGCTTCAGATAATACCTACACTATTTTATTGAGATAAATAAAATTATCGACTTTCTATTATT